GCTCACTTCCTGAGCCTCTGGTTCCCCGTCACCTCTGTGTACCATCAGTGCCCCATCCCCGCCAAGGGCAAGCTGTCTGTTCAGTAAACGAGTGAGCGAGTGGGTGACTGAGCGAGTCAACGACTAAGCGAGTGAAGGGTTGCCCCCCCACCCGCCCCCGCAGACCGGGAGCCCACTCACTGCAGGACGGAGGGTGAGCTCAGCGAGGACCCCCGGGGGGCCAACAAGAGGCTGTCGGCACATGTCAGGTGAGTGGGGGGGCTCTGCCTCTGGGGTGTCCTCAGTGGGAACAGCTTAGTCACCCCTGCCGCCTGCAGGCCTCAAGGCTGTCCCCTCCAAACAGAGCCACCGAGTCAGGCATCTGGGTGCGGAGGGTGGGATACCGGCCGAGGAGCCCGGGCACTGCCCGCTGTCAGGGTGAGGGCACCGTCTGGCGGCTGGCGCTCTGCTGGAGCTGAGTGCATTCAGTGTCTGAGTGCTGGGTGAGGTTTGAAGGGCAGTGGTGGGTTGGCCTCGGACCCTGCGTCTGACCTGCTCTGGCGCCCGGCGGTCCCACGTGGTGTCTTGGCGGCCGGGCTGTGCGGAGGTTGCATGGCGGTGGCCCGATCCCGGCTGCAGGCTCTAGCGGGGAGGACACTGGAGCCCCCGTAAGTTCCGAATGGGGTTCCCAGTGGTGCTGCTGGGGTCTTGTTGGGGTCCCCGGGGCTGGCTGGGGACCTGGCCGTCCTCGAGGGCCTTTCTCCCGTTCCCCTCTGGGGCAGTGGGTGCCGGACAGAGGCCCCCTGCCCGGGATCTGGAGACCACCCGGCCCAGGCGTCCCCCAGTCCCCCCAGGGCCTGCTGTGGCCCGTGAGGCAGCGAACACTCAGGCCCTCATCCCCACGGTGCACGCAGGAGGCCGGGCGCCGACCCCCACCCCTGCTGTGCACGGGGCCCGTGCCGCGTGGACGAGAACACGGAGCGGAGGAACCACTACCTGGACCTGGCCGGAATCGAGAACTACACGTCTAAGTTCGGGCCTGGTAGGTACCGGAGACCAGCGCTCGGGGTCTGAAGTCCCGTGTGTGGACGCCCCGGGAACAGGAGCCCCCTCCCCGCAAGGGTCCCCGGGTCCTTGCGACAGAGCTCACGACAGTCCCGCATCCAAACGTGGGCGTCCCAGTCAGGTGTGTGGGGTGTGCCTGCTCCGGCGTGAAATGTCCCGGGCCCCGCAGAGGTCTCGCAGGGTGTCCCGCGTCCCAGGCCTGCGCAGGATGTCAGGGGTCGGTCTCAGGGGTGCCCGTGTCTGCAGGGTCCCTGCCGGCACCAGCCAAGCAGGAGCATCAGGGCAAGGCCGTGCACCCCCAGAGCAGGTCCCACTCGCAGGAGGCGGACGCACACGATGCGCACCACCGCAGGTCTCAGCCGCTGGCCGACCAGCCCCCGCCGGCTGCAGACCCCGCCAGGGCCCTGGACGCGCAGCCCCTCCTGAAGGGGCAGGACAAGCAGCCTCCGAGGTCCCCCAAGGGCTCAGGGAGGCCACCTGGGGCACCCGGCGGAGGCAAGCCCGGGAGAGCCTTCGGCTCCCACCTGCTGGCGGCCCCGGCCCCCGCCCCCCCAGGACGGCCAGCACCCCCCCCCCAGCCCCCGCCGCAGCCCTACGGCCACAAGCGCTACCGGCGGAGGGGCAGGGAGGGCCACTCGACCCCCAAGGCGGTGCTGGAGCACGAGGGGGTGCGGGGCCCGCCGCCCCCGCTGGTGGGGGAGGGCTGTGCGGTGCCCGCGGTCCAGCGCCACGAGCACCACCACCACCACGAGCACCACCACCACCACCACCACCACCCATGCTAGTGCCAACCGCGCACCGGCCCCGGCGTGGGCTCCGCGGAGGTGGCGCCGATGGACCTGGTGGGGAGGGCCTCCTTGGCCCCCCGCCTCCCCGCGCCGTGCTGCCCACAGAGGCCGTGTCCGCACGAACACGTGGGACGCCACTGGCATCTCAGCTTTGAAGCTACTCCTCGTGCCCCGTAGACACCCTCCGCGGGTGGAGAAACATAGCCGGTGTCTGCTCTTGTTTGTGATTCCAGACGAGGCCCCTGTGGTGCTGGAGGGGCTCCGCTCGGACGCCACACGTCCGGTGTGGGCTCCCTGTTACGTGGCCCTTCCTGTAATCTGTTCACGAGGAAGTCCAAAGGGGGCAGCGGCAGGGGGGTGGCCGCGCAGGACGGGGCGTCGTCAGGAAACGCGGTGGCGGGGCGGGGAGGCCAGGCAGGGCCGAGGGGCTGCAGGAGGGGCCTCCGGCATCTCCACGGACACAGACGTGGACGGCAGGCCGGCCCCTCGTGCTTGGTGGACGCAGACCCGAAGCGGCGTGGCGGCAGACCCGGCCTCCGCCAAGTCCCCCTCTGGGAAGGCATGATCCCCATTCCCTCTGGGCGTCAGGAGAAGGGCTGTGGGCCAGCAGGAAGTCTCACCCCGCCCCAGCGCTCCCACCGAGGCAGGAAGTTACTGCTCCTTTGTTCTGGAGAGGCACGCCGACTCCCGGCAGCTTGCGTGTCTGTGTGGGTGGCTTTCACTGGCCTTCGTGGCACCGCTGTTGAGGATGAAGCGTCAGTGGTCGACGCGTGAGGTCCCCCCTCAGGCACAATGAAAGCGTGTGCATTTGCAACGTGTCGGGCCCTGTTTGCAATCAAGATCTTCCGGTAGATACGGGCAGACCGCCGCCCCAGGCAGCGCGAGGCTACAGGTGTGCGGAGCCGGCGGGCCCAGGACGCGTCCGCCGCGTGCACGGGTAGAGGGAAGACTGACGCACGTGCAGGCACACGCGACTCTGTCTTTGCGGGGTTTCCTCCCTGTGTTTCTGCTCTAAAGTTCAAACACGTAAGCAACCCGAAAACCTACGTCCCCAGCTTGGCTCGTGATAACGGGACACTTGGTACCACGTCTGGGGCTGTGAGGACCACAGTTCAAGTGGAGACGGTGGCTCTCTGTACACAGGGATCTGTTTGGAGGGGTCGGGATGACATCTGCCCGTCTGCTCTTCAGGACGTCCTCCTGGGTCGTGGCTGTTGTAAAGTCTGCGGGGATTTCGGAGGATCTGGCGTCTTCCCTGGGGCCCACGTCCCATCCCCCGCCCCCGGGAGACCCCCAAGCCACCCCTGCCCCTGGGGGAGCCCCCACCCCACCCCACCAGGGGACCATTTCCCTGCTTTGTTTCCTCTTTTCTGCCTAAAACTTACACATTTGTCTCTACTCGGGGAGACCTGTGTGTCTGTGCCAGCCTGCTCGCCTCACCCACACCTGCTGCCCGGGACCTCATATGCTTCTGCTCCATGGGCTCCCGGAGGGCCCACGCCTCATCCTCGGTGCCGGGCACGTCACCAACACACCAGAGAAGCCCAGTGAACACTGGAGGGCAGCCTGCAAGCCCCCTGTGGCGTGGGCGTGACCTGCCATGGGAAGTGTCAGGAGGAGGCCAGCGGGACGGTGGGCCCAGAGGTCCAGCGAAAGCGGAAGGTCCGGGCACTTTCTGATGGTCCGGAACGCAGGTGGGCACTGGGGGCCTCACCCGCCCTTCCCCACCAAGCACCCTGCTGCGTGCGTCCGGGAGGGGTCTGAGCCCAGAGGACCGGACAGCCCCCAGAACGGGGGAGAGGGGGGTCCAGGCAGGGAGGCCTCTTGAGGCGATGTCCCCGCACAATGCAGAGCCGATGGCCAGCAAGCCAGGAACTGGAGAGTCCCCTGATCTAGTTAGAGTGTCTGCAAACGAACAGGAAAACAGCCCAGCCCACATCCGAGACAGGGAATGTGTGTGACCAGTGCTTCGGAGCAGCAGGGCAAAGAACAGAAGCAAAGGTACTGTCCGAACAGCACACCCGCTAGGATTCCCCACAGGTGGCACCGAGTAAAACCCAGAAGCGTCTTCCGGTGCCTGAGAGTAAGATTAGCAAAGCCTCTAGATACAAGTCGATGTCAAAGAGCAATTTTATTTCCACAGCACAGCCACTGGTTAGAAATTGATTTTTTCCAGATGGTATGATGGTTAACTTTGTGCCACTTGATGGGGCTGAGGGCGCGAGGGAGCTGGCGAAGCATTACTTCCAGGTGGGTCCATGCAGGCGTCTCTGGAGGCGCTGGCGTCTGACTCAGCACCTCCCAGTGTGTGCGGCGACCAGCGGACCCGTCAGGCCGGGGTGGAAGTTGTCTCTGCCGAGTCCAATTCTGTCTCTCTCCTTGGGCGGGGACATCCTTCTTCTCTGACGTCAGAGCTCCGGGCTCAGGATTCAGGCCTCGGCCAGGTTTGCCCCCCGGACCTCCCTGGGGCCTCCCAGCCTCGGTATAGGATCTCAACACAGAAACTATGAACTTTATCGGAAGTCGCCCAGAAAGATCCAAACGGAGGGGTGTGGCGCGTGCCCGGGTTTGCCAGCTCGGAGCAGTGGTTTGATCCCAGGTGAAATCTCAGCCGGCTCTCTTCGGTGGTTCGACACCGGATGCTGTAGTGTGTGGAGAAGCAAAGGGCCGAGAACGTGAAAAGCCAGGTGACCTGCTTGACCATCAGGACACAGAGTGGCCACGGTAATTAGCTCGGTGAGCCAGGCCAGCCAAAGCGAGCGGCGGATCAGGGCAGGAGGCCCAGACACGGCCCCTGCAAAGACAGCCACTAGACTTGTGACGACGGTGGCCCCACGAGCGTGGGCCACGTCTTTCCCCAAACGGTGACGGGTCGGTGGGTCCCGCCTCCATCCTTGGGTGCCGCCGGTATGCAGAGCAGCCCCCTCCTGGGATGCACCCAGGGTGCACGTGCCCATGGGACAGACATCCTCAAGCGGACAACACAGCGGGCGGGCACAGCGGGGGACTCCCACAGTGGGGCGCCTCCTGGCATGGAGACCCACGCGGCGCCCCTGGGCAGACAGATGACCTCTGGCAGGCAGGGGCGGGGGCACAGGCCACTAGAGCCACAGCCACCTTCTGGCCTCTGAGCTGGTGGTGAGTGTGCTTCCTGCCACCCACGAGGAGCAGAGAAAAGCAGAAGGTTCAGCGAGATGCCTCCACAGATGCTGTGATCTGGGGGCTGTGCTCCGTGGGGACCCCTGGGGCACTCGAGAACCCTGGGGACAGGCCGCTCGGATGCAGACCAGTCCCACTGCCAAGTTGCAGCCCCTCCCCCAGCGGCCAGCGATGATGCACCCAGCTGCCCCGGGAGAGGCACCAGCGGGGGCTGGACCCCCGGGCCTGGCAGCCGGAGCCAAGGGGTGGGTGGCCAGCGAGGACCACAACCGGGAAAGGGGCCCCAGCGGCACCAGACGTGGGTGACAGCCCCTGGTGGGGGCGGAGGGGACGGTGCAGCCCAGCCCAGTCCAGCCCTGCAGGGAGGGGGCGCCTGTCCGCCTGGGGACACGGGGCAAGGGAGTCCTGGAGGGGCCCTCCCCCACCCGGGGAAGGAGAGACCCCCATATCAACAGAGCATGAATCCCGAGTCCCGAGTGACTGTGGGAGCGGTGACCTCGTGGTCTCCACCAATGAAAACTTCAGTTATGGACGGGGTTTCAGGCCCTGGTCTCCACCCCTGCCTTACCTCCCACCCACCCACCCCCGTGGGGCCCCTGCCTTAGGCAAGTGACCACAGCGACCTTTCCGACCCTTG